AGGGAGAGAGCAAGAGAGCAACACCAAAGAAGAGAAGAAGAGAAAAAGAAGAAGGGAATGGGAATCTATCCAGTGAATCAATTCCCAGAATCTTCGCACAAATGCCCACATACTTAAAATTTAAAACAAACCTAGAACTTGACACAAAAAACCTTCAAGATAATTGGGTTTTGTTGAAAACCCATTTTAAGCCCGGTTTTGGGGCAAGCGAGTAAGGAACCGTTGGAATAATCGTAGGGCATAATGTGTCTCTGACTCTACGTCCTTCCACAAAATGAAACAATTCGGCAATTAGAGAAATCTGAAAGTTAGTATTTTTGTTTCCTATTTTGATTTCCTCTAGGCGACAAGACAATAGGAGAGTACGTATTTTTTTTTGGTTTGACAAGAGAGTACGTATATTCGTTAGAATTGGATATGTAAAGAGTGCTGCTATTTCCACCCCTTGTTCTATTTTCCTATCTATCTTATCTTCAAATTTTTAAAGATAAATTTAACCCTTTGTAAAATGACTTCTAAGAACTTAGAAAACATTTATCCAATAAGTTAGACAATCCACAGGCACCTTCACTCTCGACATAGTAACCCGAGTCCCGACCAATTACCCGTTCTCCCAATCCCCTACAAAATTCATACCTCTTAAGTTTGTTCTATCTTCAATTCTTGCAAATTACAAAGAAGACTCATCAGAGAAGGGAAAAAAAAAAGGAAATACATACAGTAAAGAAAATATATTCAAAACTCATCCAAAACTAAAGCCATGGAACAAATTGATACTCCCAAGTCTCCAGTTCACCCCCACCAAAACCCCACCCCACACACCAACCCAGCCCCACCCCCCCCAAAAAAAACAAAAAACAATATTTGGCGGGTCAACCATTGTCCACCCTCTTATATATTGATTCCCAACTTCATTTCTTTTTTCCACCACCAAAACTTCCGATCCTCTTTCTCTCTCAAGTTTCTGCCTCAAACCCTCAAAAGCCCAAATTCTCTTCGATTGAACAATGGGGGGGAAGAAAGATATATAGTATTGTGGTTTTTAGAAAATTATATGGTGGGAATTTGCATGAATTAATAATTACATGGCATTTTAGGAATATGGTGGATGGAAAGATAGGATTGGGTTTGTTCAAATTTACATGGTTGGTGAGAAGCTAAGGTAGGTGGAGAAATTGGATAGGGCAGTGGAAATAACAATACTTTATGTAAATATGGTTCTTCCTTTCTCTCTCGTTGCCTTAAATAGTAAAGTGAAATATAGCTATTAATTTTTCCTTTCGCCAAAGAACTATGTATTAATGAAAACCCACAAAATGCTAATGTTTTAATAAAGTACTTTCACAGACATAAGCTTAGCTAAGTTGGCTAGAGAAGATGTGCTCAGTGGTGGATTCAAGAAATTCCATTCCGGGGGTCAACGTATAAAAGGTAAAAAAAATTCATAAAAATGAAACGATAATATTATATTCCATATTGAATAGAAAAACCACATTACAAACTACAATTTTCCACATCAAATTTTGAGTGTGGATGGTGGTGGTGGTTTGAGTGCGGAGGGGTAGGGTTAGGAGTTGGGAAGGTAGGGTTCTTTTTGGGGAAATTCAATTGAAACTGATTTGGGGGCGGGGGAGTATTGGGCTTGCTTTTGGCCAGTTTAACATTGATGTGATAATGATCAATCGTATAGTCATAAAGTCATTATTTTAGATTGCAATATCTCTCCAGCATGCATAACAATATCTCTAAATTGAATGCCATGACGAATTACTAGATTTAGAATACAATTCTCACTCGATTAAAAAAATGACAATCTCAATTTCCTGTAAAATTCTACTAAAAAAAGTAAAAGTCTCTGAAGTGGTCTTTAATCAAAGGTTTCCAAATAAAATATTCTGAAACATGTAGATCTTGTATCGTGCTATCCTCCAGTACTTGATAACATGTCATATAGATACATAGTGGACTTTGCCTACAAAAACCCCATCATGCATGCCATCCAAAGATGCTTTGCATATAATATTTTATGCACATGCAATCCAACATATCCGATTCTTTTCAGGGGACAGCTAGCTATTAATTATAAAGTAATCAAGATTCATAATCACCCTTTTCTTAATTCAGGGTAGGGTAGGGTAGGTATATATCCCCCTCTATATTTAGGATCACATATCCCCCTCTATATTTTAGCGGCCTGAAATGTGTGCTCATCGCCAACAAGCCAAAGGCGCAAAAAGTGCTTATCACCAAAATAGAAGAATAATTTTTATATGTATTTGTTTTTTTTACGGGAGCTGGTTTTCCAACTTCTTGTTTATCCACTTACACTTTCTTGTAAGTGACCGGCGAGGAACAAAATGCCACAAACTTGATGTCTAATTAATGGTGAGAAGCAAATCATCTGTGCCATGCCATTGTTGGTGGGAGAAAGTTTTCTAATTTAGTATTGAAAAAGGTGTAATCTTCAGTCCTCACTTTCTGTAAGCGGCCAGAAGAACACTTCTTCATCCGCAATAATTAAGTTAGTGCACGCCCTAGAAAACTGCCCTTTGGTGGAAAAGTTTAGGACAATATCCGTACGAGACAGCCTTTTTGTTACTTTAATTATACTTACTAATTCTTTCTCAAACTCACAGAACATGATAGAAAGAAGAAACCGACTTCAACTGGTAATTCTGAATCCCTCCTACTAAAAAATAAAAATAAAATTGGACTGATAAATAGACAACTCCTCCTCGATATCCATCGATCTTATAAAGAATATTTTTTGGGACAAATGCTTTATGCTTGTTCTTTGTGGTTGTGGTGATGTGAGTTGGGTTTATGTAGCTATTTTAAACATATCTTTAGTAATTCAGCTTTCAAGACCCCTGACGTATGACTATGAAGTTGAAAGGATACTGATTGATTCCTTCTTTGTGAGATACTTCTCCTTTCTGCAAATTACAGTTTGACATATGCAAAAATAATTCATAAAAACACACACAAATATATATATATATATATATATATTACACACATGTCACACTGCTATTAGTAGGAATGTAAGAGCTCTTACTTCCATAGTAAGAAGGGAAATATTTTCTAAGTTAAAAAGGAGCTATTTAACTCATATATACATTAATAAGCAATCAAAATAATGTCACTCAATTTTATGTTTCTTTTTCATATAAGTGATATTGAAAAGGGGAAAATCAAACTAGGACCTCGGATGCAGAGGAAAATGTTATACCACTTAAGCTATAAGCCTCTACTACTATGTCACACTTTTTATACCCTAATATACTACTTTTTATGGTTGCATTCTTCTCCTTATCCACAATAATGCTTTTTGTAAGACGCACTTGATAAATGCTTCATCAATAAGCACTAAAACCTTCTTTAACTTTAGAAAACATATCCATCTTTCCCTATGTCAGCCAAAAAGCACTCCTAAGTCCTAACCACACCATTATATGTAGTATAACTTCTGGCATTTTTTTTGGTAATTATCCAATTAATAGTTCATGTAATTTCACATTTTGGTTTTTAACCGAAATGGTCCTTGAACTTTTGCATGAGTTTCATCCATCAACTAAAATTTTTATTTCAATTCACCCAAATTGAGGGATGTTTTTACCCCTCAATTTAACGGCAAAATTGACAGCCTTTGATGATAAGACTAATTTGATACTAAATGGAGAGTTGATGGACTATTGGAAAGAAAAATTTAGTTGATAGACCAAATGAAACTAGAGCAAAAATTGGAGGGACCATTTCGGTCAAAAACCACTTCATATTTTGTTAAAATGGAAAATTTACAAAAACCGAGATTTATTTATCCCATGGGAAAGCATAATGACTCTTTGAGATGCTCGTGTGAAATTGGATGCTCCATTGCTCCTTGAAGCATGACAAATCCTTGAGTGAAAGCATCTCCAATTTATGCCTTGGTTTAACAGAACCATTCCCTCTGTTCTGGGAACATTCTCGGGTAGACATCACAGCTGAGAGGTGATCATTATTTGAAAGTAATTTGCAAGCCAACTCGAACGACAAAGTGGTGAAACATTCAACAGTGGCTTTCTTATTTGTGCTAAGCTTGAATGCTTTACGATGGGATTAAAAGTCAAATGAACAACTAGCGGGTTTCTTTGATTTTACTTTTGCATTTATGATAACAACTCACACGGGAAAGTTTGGTAAACTTTGAAATTTTGCCTAGAATAAAAGTTAGGTTTCTAATAATGTCCCCAATTAATATTGCTGACTACTTTTTCTTAGTCAAACACTCTTCATTTATTATGATAAACTTTATTAGACAAACTTCAACAATACAATCAAAGACATCAACATAACATCTAATGCACCAATCTCACGAGGACGACAAACTAACATACTAACTCTCCAATAGCAGTAGCAAATTAAACTCTTAAAATTAAATTTTGTTGACATATGTGGCAATTTGACAAGGTTTATTTACTACTTTAATCATTTGTGCCTAGCAGACTCTTCAATTCAATTAATGCAATTTTATGAAGAAAAAAAAATATATGAAAACATGTGAATAATGTCTATGTATTTATTATCTGGAAAAAAAAAGTGCATGTTTTTAACATTTTCAAGGAGGTTTTGTTTTTCCAAAGTAAAATTAAATGTTTTGAAGAGCCAAGGTCAACTTACCAATCTTGAATAGAGAGAAATAAGTTGCAGCTTTAATGACTGTGTTTGGCAAGGCTGTTGGAGAGAGTTTTGATGATGTAACTCACTTATTTTAACATTCCAAAGTTGTTGACTAGGCAATTGGAGATGCTCTAAGCAAAACTAAAGGGGGACAAAAGCCGTACAAAAACTACTAGCCCATATCACCACAATTAAGCATAACCCCGTCGTTGCATGAGTTCAAAGAGCATCAGCCTACCCCGTCGTTGTCTATTTCACGTGCTCAGGCGAAGTGGCAAAAACCTCCTCTGGGTGTCATTAAGATTAATGTTGATGGGGCCTTTCAAGGGCTAACTGGTATGGGCGGTGGGGGGATAATTGCTCGGGATTCAGCTGGTTGTTTTGTGGCCGCCCGTGCATGCAAACTCAGCCATGTCTCTTCCCCGAAACATGCTGAAGCTCTTGCCCTTCGTGAGGCCCTTCTTTTTGCCAAGGATATTGGACCAGGTCCAAAGCTGATTGAGATTGATGCGCAAGGGGTGTTACACTCTGTTCAGGATGCGCAGGAGGATAGATCCTATTTAAGCTGTTTGTTTTCAGATTGCAAGTTTTTCCTTTCCCAGTTAGAGAATACTTCTATTAAGTTTGCTTTTAGAGAAGCTAATCGAGCAGCGCACCGCTTAGCTCGTTTGGCAATTCCCTTGCTAGAAACATTCACGTGGCTTCAGGATCCTCCTGATGTCGTGTGTGATGTTTTGGTGCAGGATATTTTGTAACCCTTTCCTTATCTTTAATGAATTATCTCAACAACAAAAAAAGCATAACCCCAAACAAAGCCCACAAACCCAACATAGCTAAAACCCTAAAGCAACCCAAGAACGAACCCTACCACAACCACCTAAAGAAGCGTCATCGCAGCCACACCCACTATCACATCCATAACAAATCTTGGGAAAACATGGTTTCCATCGATTTACCTGCACATAAGAGCGAACAAATAAACCAAAACAATCCTGACAAAGAATAATTAGGCGATTTGCAGCAACTCCGTCAAATAAGATGTAGAACCAAATTTAAAGAACTTGAGTAGTGTTAGAAAATAGATTTGGGAGAATGATTTGATTAAGAACATAGTTCAAAAGAGGTGATGGAGAACTTCAATATGAACATATTCGCGTCATAAGTTGTTTTTAATATTTACTAGAATGGGAATGGGTCATACATACTTTTCATGTGTCAAATGAAGTTATTGTAGATCGAAGTGGAGAAAGTAAGGAGTGAAAATACGCGGGTATTTATTATATTGCCCATAATTTTAAGTTTATTATCGTTCAATGTTAAAAGGATGTACTGACATTTTACCCTCTTGGCTGGCGAATAGTGTTCTCTTAAATAATAGTATGGATAGGCTTCCCCATATCTCTCAAGAAAAAACCTCTGAGAAAATCCTAAGAAAGGAAAGTCTAGCCAACTGATTCTAGAAATTTCTTTGTTTAATTTCGTTTTTTTACGCCTTAAAAAAGTAGTAATTTCATCTTTAATTTGATATTATGTTATTTTCTAATGAACATGGGTTGGGGAGAATGGAAGAGGGCACAACTTACTACATTAAGGAAAAATCACTAATTAGTTTGTAAATTTTTCGAAGCGATAATTCACCCACGACAAACCAACACCACAACAATGAGGTTCGCTTCAATCAAACTCATCACAATTGCATTCATGAAAGTCGAGCCTAAACGACCTTTTTCAATTAAGTGAAAACTAATCGATAAATGCTAGCCTTTATATTATGAGTAATACTAGAGAACATCAAAATTGTGAATAAATCACAAATGATGTGACATATTTTACATAATCAATTTATATTATACAAGAGGATGATCATGGACTTAAGGGGTTTTACCAAATCAACACAATTATGACTTTCTCCTATGATCAAGAAGGTTGACTTTTATATTAAGTCAATGGATTCCACAGTCAGGCTACATAATTGACTAGGATTCATGAGCAACACGTGATGTGTTGTTTAAGTGAAATGTGTGGTTCCAAAGTAAGAGAGACATTGCTTTCATTAACATCATCCAACAAATAGCCACGTGTAAATTAATTAACTACGGATTAGAGAAAGTTTTTAGCGACCACTGGTCAATACTTTCCGTTAATCCAATGGTTAGGATTATCTCTCTTTGTTGGGATTAGGGTTGTACAGCTGGGATGGAAAATTTCTTTGACCAAACACCGTTTTGTTTCTTGTCCTATTCTTCTTACACGTCTCTAGTTGTAAACTAATTTGTATATGATTTGTATAGTAGAAATCAACAAGTATGTCCACATACAATATTTGTTTTTGGTTGTGTTGTGTTGTATTGTTAATAGATATCTAATATTCAATTTGATCCTTTTTTTTTAAGAGAACTTCGACGGAATGAGAAAAACTTTATTGATAAAACGAAGAATTACAATCAGGAGGACAATGCCTAAGCCCGACTCAACAAATCACATAATAGGGCATCCTAAATAAGATCAAGGGCACCTCAAATCAAATAAAGTTGTCCATATTATGCAGACCGAATCGAGCAAGTCGGTGTGCAACACCATTTGCTTCTCTATAAGTAAATTGAAAAAGAAAATTAGGAATCTGTTTCTGAAGATGCTTTACATCTTCAACAATGGTACCAAAGTTTGATTCAATTTTATCTGAATTATAAAAGAAAATGCAGTTGCTTAATATTTGGATAAGTCGAAAAGATGACTTCCCTAGGTTGTTCTCCACTTGCAATTTATGAATTTTATTTCCAACATTCTTAAACTTATTTACTAATGTCAACCACAATGCCAGTTGATCATCAGAAAACGAACATTTCATCGACTTATGCAAAGTTTAAGGACGTCTTACATTAATTAAGCAGTTGGCCTTTAAATATTAAACGAAGACATTTGGATGTGAAAACTTTATTGGGTTGACGAATAAATTAAATACTTCCAGTTGCTGCGTGAAAGAAAGGTAACAGTCATCTTTTTTCTGCCGTACTTGTTTGAATATTTTGGTCTTGGTCATTTTTGTATGCTGCTCCCTCCTCCATATGCGTGCATTCGTGCTTGAATGTGTCAATAAAAGGTCAACTTCATGTTTCTGAATGCCTTTTTTCCTTAGGACTTCTTGTTTCTACTGAATGCCTTTTCATAGCAATTTCTGATTTCAATATTTCAGATATATCCTCATGTGAGTGGCAGAATTAAAACAAAGTCATGTTCTTATATATTACCTGCGCATGAAAAATAATTATTAATATATTGGGTTCCGAGTGTCTCTTTCCAATTTTTAAAAGAGGTTAGTAGTTTTTTCATTTAAATACAAGCGATAGTCTAAACTATAAGGGGAAGGAGAGTTTTTCTCACACGTACTACCAAGGTGCCATGAAAGTTCGAACCTAAGACCCACTAGGCTAAAACCCCCTATTGATAAACAGGTTAGTAGTTTGAATCTCATTCTTTGTTCATAAGATTATAGATAATAAATGTTTGCATAAACCACTAAATAACTATCCAAACTAAACTAGTGGAAATATACCGCACATCACAGCTACTTCATCACAATGAATCACTTTCTATTAGGTATTGAACTCATCACAAACGTACAATTTATTGTGAATCGAATTTGAGACATTTTCCAACTAAGTGAAGACTTAAGACTAGCTGATCAACCCAATTTTTGGTTCATTAGACCACAATTGGGAATATATTTACAATAGCATTTTATGACATCCAGATTCCCATTGGAAGCTCACTTTTTCTTAATGATTTGTGAGCAGCCATTTTTTGGCTCCCAAAAGTGCACCAATGGAATGAAACTAGTTAGGCAACTTGTTGTTCTTATGATTAGTATTTCTCTATTAGCGTCTCTTCTTTGAAACCAAAGAACAGAAAACAGAGCGTCCGGTTTTATTAGCGGCACACGTTTTTTGGTTCTGGTCTCGGAGTAAAAAGACTTTGACTCAAAAGTCGCTTGGTCCATAAGCAAAGCACCATATACCAATATACCATTATCCACTCAAAAGTCTATAGATAACGTTGTTTTCAGAATTAAAAGAAAAAATAAATGTAACATTAAATCACAGAAGAAAACAAAAACATCAGATTGTGTCGACAAGCAAATGGTTAAAATCCCAGAGACAAATCGGTCAGGGTAGTTTCGTCAACTCATGTACTGACGTGCCATGGCCGCCACCATGCCTCAATGGCATTAGGGTAATAGCAACAAAAACAGAGGGTAGGTATGGAACATATGTAGTACATATATCATATGACATGTGTATGTGAATGTGTAAAGAAGGAGATGAGCCATTGCAAAACATTGTTGGTAATCCAAGGTTTTCTCTTTTCTGTGTTTTGTTGAAGGAGACTGTTGGTTGCTGACTCAGATTCAGAAACACAAAGAAAACATAGGTACTTGAATTGTTGAAGCTCAATCATTCAACTTCTTATCCAAAAAATAAGAAAAGAAATGAAAAATTAGAACTCAAAACAAACTGGAGTTTTTTTTTTTTTTTTTTTTTTTTTTTTTTTTTTTTTTTTTTTTTTTTCCAATGCTGTTTCTTAATGGGGATTCTTTTGTCTTGAAGCTGCTTTGATTGCAGAGGAACAAAAATCCATAAAGATTCTCACTTCTGGTCGTTTGGAAAATATTTTCAATCCCTGCAGAATTCAGAGTTCATTTCCAGATACAGAAATTGAATTGAGTTGTGGTATGTAATGTAAATTTGTAGGCTTTCAAGTGAGATCGAGGAACATGCCGAAGGGTTTTGTTTGGATTGGATTAATTTTGATGAACTCTTGCTTTGTTTGCAGATTTGGGTTCAATTTAGATCAAAGCAGAAGTAGATCTTATCTGGGTGGGTCTCCTTCTCAATCAGATGAATCTTGAAGCAACCCAAGTGTTACGTAGTGTTTGAATTTGCAAGGATTCAGATTAGTAGACAAGAAAGGAAACAAGAAGTTGGCGCTCTTCAGAATCTGGAAAGAAAAAAAAAACACTATGAGTAGCCTTTTGTACAAATACAATCCTAATTTTAAGTGTTCAGAGGCAGAGCTGAGGAAGAACCACGCAGAGTTCATGGATTCAAATATTTTCCAGCAACAGCAGCCACAGCAGCTACATCAGCAGCTGCAGCAGCCGCAGCAGCAGAGCTCTGGCCTAATGCGGTATCGGTCTGCTCCGAGCTCATTTCTAATGGATTTGGTGGATAACAATGGTGGTGTTGGGTGCGAGGATTCGCGGTATCTTCGACCTTCAAGCCCCGAAGTGGAAACAGTGTTAGCCAGGTTCATGTCTTCATGTAATGAACCAGATCATCATGACAATGGTGCCAATAGTCTGCAGCATCAGTTTGAAGAGACGGCTGTGAAGCAGGAAGCAGGGGACTCTGTTTCTAAACAGAATGGCTACTCAAATTCTTCTCATATGATGTACCAAGCTCAACAAGTTCATGCTTTGGATAATAACTCCTTTGCTGCCATCAACTCTACGGGGTTGGAGAATTCGATGCAGTCAAAAATTGGTGTCGGAAATCGCTCTAATCTTGTTAGACAAAGTAGCTCTCCGGCTGGATTCTTTCCTGACTTAACTGTTGACAATGGTATGTATTTTTCTTGCTTATTTCTTGGTTGTCTGGTATTCATCTTTGTTAAAATGCTGATAGAATTGTAAAAGAGTTTTAAGAAGTTCAGAAAATTAGGATCAATGTTGCTTCGGTTATCAACTTGCATAAACTTGACTGCATATTGTTTTCTCAACCTGCAATGAGTAAAAACTAAAATCGAAAAAGGATATAAATATCTATAATTTTCCTATACTTAGCTGGAAAGTGGAATTTATCTAATCTCTATAAGATGAGTGCTGTTTATTGGACGCTTCTTTTCTCTTCTTTTTTCAATACTTTCCTCCCTGCTTTTTCCCCTTTTTTTCCCCTTCCCTTTTCATGAAATTGCTCATCTAGTCACCAAAAGATACTACAGTGCATATTTAAGAGGCAAACAGTAGGTTTAGGTGGAGTCAATTTGGAGGGTTATTTAGCGTTTGGGTGCAGTTGTGTATGTTTAGCTTCAGATGAAGAAAAGCTAAATAAACAAACAAGTGGTTGGTTATGATTTGATAAATTTTCTCTATTTGGAAACTTTTTCTGGTTCCTCTACTAATTGTATTTGTTTGCTTGGCATACAGGCTTTAATGTGATGAAAGATGGTGTAAGTTTTAGAGCAGGCAATGGTATAAATGGAGAAGCTAGTCCATCATCAACTTCTAGGTTGAATAATCAACTGAACTTCTCATCTGGGCCATCTTCGTACCCAAGACGTATGCCTCGGATTGCTGAAATGGAGAATGGAAACATGGGAGATGGTAGCCAACAGGATCAAGGTTTGGGAAATGCTAGCAATTCACATTGCATTTCTAACTTCCCAAATGATTCTTGGGACATTTCTTCATTTAATGACCTCAAAAGAGGCAGAAACAATGATGGGAACAAGTTTTCTAATTCAACTGCATTGGAAACTCAGGTAGCCTTTGCACTTTTCTTTTCTGTAAACTCACTACTCAAGTCGTTTCTGCTTGCCCATCTGCTTGCTTGCCCTATTAGTAATGTTATTCTTCTTTGAACAGAACAATGATTTTGGACACCGCAATTACGGCCTGTCGCATCATTTGAGCTTGCCGAAACATTTTGAGATGCCTGCTATGGAGAAGTTTTTGCAATTTGAAGATTCGATTCCATGTAAAATTCGTGCCAAAAGAGGTTTCGCCACTCACCCGCGAAGCATTGCAGAGAGGGTAAATCTCATCTTTTGCATTAGTTAATTGAGCTTATTTATACCTCACGGTGATTAGCTTATACTATTAGCCAGATTAAATCATATCCATGATTTTGAATATTGTATTTCAGATGAGAAGGACACGGATTAGCGAAAGAATGAAGAAATTGCAGGATCTTTTCCCAAACATGGACAAGGTAGTTTGAGACTCTTGCAACATCACAATTTTATTCAGTGTTTTCTTGAATGAATGCATGAAATTGAGCCTTGCATGTTGTATTCTTGGTAGCAAATAAACACAGCAGAAATGTTGGACTTGGCGGTTGAGTTCATTAAAGACCTTCAGAAACAGGTTAAGGTACAGTTTCAATCAATGAAAAATATAATCTTTGATTCCAAGTAATCCACATGAAACTCAACCAACTCTATATTTCCTCCAAAGTGATTCCAATTTTTCATGCAGACACTCGGGGATATAAAGGCGAAGTGCAGTTGTTCAAGTAAACAGAAATAAATTGATTCAAATCCTTCTGCCTCATATATTCATGTAAAGCTTGTAGTATAGGAAGATGGAAAGTAGAAGAAACCAATTTCTTTTTCTTTTTTCTCCTTTGTATTTTCACCGAATAGATAATAGTAGGATGGTAGCATTTACTGTGGGTGCATGGGAATTTTAATCAATTTCATGTTAGCTTTTAGATCCTGTAGGCTTCTGTAGTTTCAACTTTTCGGTCAACTCTGTTGTTTCAATTACATCCTGTAAACGAAAAGCAATGCCAATTCCAAAAAAAGACAAAAAATTCAATGCGGAAAAGAGAATTACAAAACAATGTCTCGTGAGCAAGTAGGCCCGAAGAGGTCAAAATAGAAAGGACATGGAAGAAAGACGATGGCCCAACCCATTCGGGGCATTATTTTAAACCGCATGTAAAATCTAACAAAGTATTATGGAATAGTTTATAAACCAGTCCTAAAAAATGCGCTTAAGATTGACACCCTTCAAATTACACACTATCTAATAATGTTGATAAAATCTAAATCAAACATAACAACTCCCATAAACAGCTCGTTCGTATCTCATTTTATAACTGTAATATATAAGTTCTCTTATTGCAATATCAAGACACTTCTTACAATCTCCAACTTGAAGGTCCTTGGTACATTCAACGGTGGCATGAATACGCTTACGATATGGTAATTGTTGAGTCCCCTGAGCATACAACAATCCAAGAACAACTTTAGAACTTAACTTAATCGTGTGAGCAATTGACGATCTTTATATTTAATCAACATAGAATCGTCATTGAATTCAGTATTTATCTCATAAAACCCGTTTTATAAAAGGCATCTAACTATCCAAACTATTGCTCCTCGACTGAGAGCGCAACCTAGGTGAAGCTCTAAGGCTGCGGTATTAAGACAAGTTTTGCATGTTGCGAAGCCTTTGTCTTTTCGAATGGAATTCCAACACTGCACTAACCCATGTACAGAAGTATTTTTTCTACTATAGATTTTGATGTGCCATTAATGAGTCCATTTTGGTATCCCATAATTGAAACTTCTTTAGTCAATACATATGTCAGTAAGACATTCAAGTTTTCCTCAAAATATCCCTTGGCTGGAAACTCTACTTCATTAAAACAATTATGCCCCAAAAACACGAGATCCATATTTTCCAACGACCTCCTGGAGAAAAAGAGAAAAAGAGAAAAAGAGAAAAAGAGAAAAAGAGAAAAAGAGAAAAAGAAATAAAAAACTCAAAATGATCAAGGATTTTGAGTTAAACATGTTCAACATATTCAACTAGGATTCAATTTAATTCGTAAAAGAAACACATCATGATTATCTTGCTTGTATTTATATGAAATCTTCAATACATTTTTCCAAATAATAATAGTCGTATATATGCTATAACCGGATAAGAAGCCATTGTTAGTTTTGTTCCATGTTTATAACTTATTTATTTATTAATTAATTCATGTTTTGGCCTATTCGTTTTAGAAAGAGCCATAATTGATCTGTGTATATAATATACTAGAAATTAAATTTTAAAATATTTTCTTTGAAATCTACAACATAAGTTTTATAGCTATGTGTATCCTTGATGGGTTAAGTAATTGCATTTGATCATTTCAAACAAGCATATACCTTTGAGTAGAGTGATGTCGTATCACACTAAGTTTGTTGATGACAAGGGCATCTTGTGTGGCAGATCAAGCCCGAACATGTTTTTCTTATGAAAGCCGATTACGGGATCATCTTTCATTGTTGGGTAGTTGGTGAGAACTTGAGAGATTATAGTTGTTTACTTAATCTTCGTCTTCTTCTCCTTGTACGTCATTCCGGACTCCTCGGAGTCAGCTAGGACAGTGTGGATCCTTATGACTTTTTGCGGAGGTTCTTTGGCAACATCACGATCCTTAATATGCTGAAAAGCTTTCTTGGTCACGAACTAGGTGTAATGTCCCTCCTTTACCAACTCCTTAAGATGCCTCTTCCAGGATTTGCAGTCACCAGTGTAGTGCCCATGCGTTCCGTGGAAGACGCGGTACTTGGAGGTGTCCCTCGTGGCAAGATCAGTTTTCAAAGGTGGCGGCCACTTCAGCCATGGCTTATCCTTCACATGGTTTAGAATTTGATTGATAGGAATCATAAATTCTGTGTAGCTCTTACCAACTAAAGAGCCTCCTCTAATAGATCGTGACTTGTGCTTTCCTAAGTTATTCCCATTATAGGACCTGTCATTCTTATGTATAGCCTCTTTTAGTGGATGATCAACTTGTTTGCCAGACTTCTTCTCATCAATACGGTCATCATCCCAGAGCCCATAATGCTCTGCCGTTGTGAAGACTTCAGCTAGAGTTTGACTTAGAGTGATGGCCAACTCTCGGTACAAGTTATGCTCGCTTGGTAAGCCCTTGTTAAAATCAGAGGATGCGATTCGAGCATCACATCCCACAATGTTGGATTTCTCCGCTAGAAACCTTTTGATGTAGTCCCGGAGAGACTCATCCTACTTCTGCTTCAAGTTGAAGAGCTGATCAGATTGCTTCTTGATCACTCGGTAGAAAGAATACTCCTTCGTGAAAACGAGAGCTTATTCCCTGATGCTATTGATTGACTTGGGCGTCAAAGTATGGAACCAATCTTGGGTCGCTCCTCACAAGGTCATAGCGAACACCTTGCACATCAATGCATCGTCGCCTTTATAAAGTATCGTGACACTCCTAAAGTGCTTAAGATGGCTTTCGGGATTTGTATCCCCTTTGAATGGTATGAAGGTAGGTGTTGTGAACTGCCTAGGTGGAGTTGCCTGCTCAATTTCATTGGTGAACGGCGAGGAGTTCACTTGGTATACTTCTATGCGTAGAGCGTCTTCCAAGTCTCCTATGACTTGATTTGGAACGTGTTATATAATATTTTAACCCACCAAAGGATAAGATAGAAAAGTAAATGAATAATGTGACTCATCCCCCTTTGGCCAATGATATCACAACACCACTTGTTACTAGCATGCAAGGTGGCATGGCAATGATGATTTGATTAAAACCAATCCGAAATCTCTACATGTGGAAAACAAGAATGGTATCATCTTTCACCTAAAGGAATAATCCCATACTAGACTTAATATTTTATAACATTTAGGTCTTCATAATAAATATTAAATAAGGAAAAGCCATATTAATAAATAATTAATATGTAGTATGAATATTTCTTTAAAAAATATATTTTTTTTTATAAAAGGAAAAAAAAAGGTTCTCACATACCATAAAAAGAAACTGTTGCAGTCAATCTCTGTCAGAATTCTTCCATGCTTACTCTGCATCCTTTAGCTGCTTTGGTTAGGAGCTGTTGTGACCTTATGCAGTAGGTTCCCAGGTGTGCCCTTCAGCATGTTTTTCGTGAGAAGAATATTGTTGCTGACCGGTTGGCTAATTGGAGTTATCAAGTGGATCTTGGGTTGTGCGTGTTTGAGCAGGCTCCTATTTAGTTAAGTGATTATCTTGTTGATGATCTGCCTGGAATTGTTCATTCTAGACTGGTCTGTTTAGACCAGGTTGTGTAGTCTGGTTCTTGGGGCTTTGCCCCCCTACTTAATAATTTAAAAAAAAAAACAAAAGGAGTTATTTACACTAATACCCTTGAGGTTTTTAAAGTTCTCATAAAATCCCTTTAGGTTTCAAAAATTACACAAACGACTCTTGAAGTTCAAACTTATTTTCACAAAACCCATTTTCGGTAATTATTCATCTAAAAATTGATGATTTCATATATAAAAAAATTTATAAAAATGACAAAATTAATCTCAATAAATATGTTGATACCAAAAATCCGTAGGGCATGCCAAAAAGAGCCCATGGAATAAAGGCCACAAATTACCTGAGAAGGTAATTAGGCCAAAAATCGACATTTACTTTACCCACGCCACGCCTATAGAGGGAACTTGAGGGCTTTGTTTATTTATGATAATAATATTGAAAAGGAATACGTACACAAAAATGCAACAAAAACAACGAGTAGGGACATCACGAATGTACGGACGTGGCATTAGAGAAAAGGTTTAGGGTTATTGCTAGTTCTAATAAATTCAGTAGTTTACAGTCTGAATAATAATTCCTTAATTGTTAAATGATTTCATTAATTATTGTTAATCATTCTTTGACGAAAGGAAAAGAGAAACAAAAGCCGTTGTTCTCCAATGTCAATTCCAACAGCAAATTTCCTGTCATTTCTGTAAAAATAATTTAATATTTACGCACAAATAGGGGGAGGAGGAAACAGACCCCAAAACTCTGCTAGCTCAACTCTGCGAGTTTTCACTATCTTCTTCTACGCAATCGAAATATCTTTTCACATCTAAATTACACCGATTCGATCATATTCCCATACTGATCAATTGGTCTCGGTCTCCATTCCTTCATTTTCTTTTTCTTTTTCTTTTTCTTCAAAAGTTTCGTACGTGAGAAATACATTTGTTCCTCTTTCCTTTTTCGGTTCGTGTATTATAATTTTTTTGGTGGGTTTATTAAGATTTGAAATTTAGACAAATATACAAGAAGATGTCGAATTTGCAAAGTAATTTCAATCAGAAGATCGACTACGTGTTCAAGGTGGTGCTGATCGGAGACTCAGCGGTGGGAAAGTCTCAGCTCTTGGCTCGTTTTGCTCGGAACGAGTTCAGTTTGGAGTCAAAAGCAACAATTGGGGTTGAGTTCCAGACTAAGACGCTCGTGATCGACCACAAAACCATCAAGGCCCAGATTTGGGACACCGCTGGTCAAGAAAGGTTAGTGCTTTTCTAATTTATTTGTATTTAATTATATAATTTAAGGAAGTTTCTGTGCTTTGGTGATTTGAGTTTTTTGATGTGGGTTTTTGGTTGTTTACAATTTATTATGTGGGTTTGCTTGAATTTTATTTTGTGTTCTTGTTTGAGATGTGATCATGTGAATGATCACCACGATTTTGCTGAATTAGAAGGGCAGTCCTTGTTTTGGTAGTCTTTAGCCCAAAACAACCCCTGCCCTGAAAAATTTGTGGAACTGTAGATATGAATCCAACATAATGAACAAGTTGTGGAACGTTGCAAGATCTAGTAAACCCTGTTCAATATACCAGCAAAGTATTACCATAATTCAATACAATCTCCTCAAACACATAAAGATAGATGCTCGATAAACTGACATTCTCTGTGGGTTATAACAACGAAGAATCACTGAATAAAGGAGTTGCCAACTAGACGTTATGATCACTCAAGATTGAACTAATATGCTCAGTAAGTGACCTGATGTTTTAACTGCTGGGTGGAGCAAGTTTTGTTTCCAATTTATTAGCACAGGATATTAGAAACACAAAACAGTCTTACTAATGGTTTTTTTTTCTTTCTTTATTTCTATGTAAAAAGAAATAATGCAAAAGTTACCGATTTCTATGTATTCTAGGAAGCTAACAATTTAAACCAAAATAGTTTAAAGCTTAAACTATATGTGGGTGTGTGATTCGACCCTCTTGTGGTGAGGATGCTAGGATGGAAGGAGTGATATTGTGAGCTTGGTTACATGTAAAGGCCCAAGGAACTTAAGTTGCTTATTTACATTTAAAGTTATATTCAGTGTTTACGGTGATCCTAGTCCCATAGAGTTTTGGTGATATTGGATGTTTAAAGTTGTTGCAATATAGCAGTTAAAGGTATTCTTGTTGGAAAATTCTCATAGATTCGTTTCCCTTTTCTAACATAAAATCATTCCATAGTTATATTTTTCCCAGCTGGTGGAGTATGCTAGTCAGGTTTCACCTCTGTTTTTCTTTTCTAAAATAAAACCTTTTCATAGTTTCTTTTGTTAAGATTTTTTGTCTCCCTGCTTACGGAGTAAGCTGGATGGGCATGACCTCTGCTTTGATGAAAAAAAAGGGAAATAAGGATTTCAAAAAGCTTTTCTTGAGCTGATACGCAATTTGCACCTTGCTAGTAAGAGATTCTGATATAAATATAGTGTGTGTGTGGAGGAGGGGAGGGAATAAATAGATAGAGAGATCTATGTTTCATTTAGTTACCCTGACATCTGTGTCTAACATGTGAAATGAACTCCTTTATTCTTGCCTCGAAGTCCATAGTCTTGTGCTTGTAAATTTTTATTCTTTTCACACTTCTGGTGCTGATCTCAGATACAGGGCGGTGACAAGTGCTTACTATAGAGGTTCAGTGGGGGCAATGCTGGTCTATGACATAACCAAGCATCAATCATTTGATCATGTAACCAAGTGGTTAGAGGAATTGAGGGGGCATGCTGACAACAATATTGTCGTGATGCTTGTAGGTAACAAGTCTGACCTTGGAACACTGAGAGCTGTACCTTCTGAGGATGCGAAGGAGTTTGCCCAAAGGGAGAACCTATTCTTTATGGAGGCATCAGCACTTGAGGCTACTAATGTTGAATCTGCATTTATTACAGTCCTAACGGAAATTTATCGAATCCTTGGCAAGAAGTCCCTCATTGCCAATGACGAAGCAGAGTCGGAAGGGAGTGCCTCACTTCTCAAGGGTACAAAAATTGTTGTCCCTGGAAGAGAGCCCGAGCCTCAAGGAAATAGCTGTTGCTGGTCTTCATAGGATTGTAGCCTTTTAACCTTATCCTGTAACGTGGATTACTGCAGTTTATAGATCCAGTAATTTTCTTACCCTCTTTTCTTTAATCCCTTACCATTCAACTTCCACGTTTGTCATTGTTTGACATGGTTACATTTTTCCATCTTTCAGGAGAGAATTGTAATACAGCTCGTGGTACATCTGGTAATTAGTTTCACCCTCTTCTTGTAAAAAGCTGTTGGCAGCTGACCGGAACAGAAATCTCGGACTCAAACACGAAGTGATGTGATAAAAATTGACATGTACTTGCATGTAGTTAAAGATCGCATATATTTTATGATTTTTACAAGCATTTCGTGGGTGGAATAGTAAGGTTATTTTGGTTTGCGCAGGAGCGCACTCACCCACAAACATGCAACTACTAGACCAGACGAGAAGTAGCTCGTGAGAAAATGTGCTTGAGTTTGGTTGTGGAACAGTGTTGTATTTCACTATTTATTGAGTCTTACCATTGATACATGAATTGCTTTCGAAGTAATTGATTCAACATTCTGTGATGGAGTTTTTGGCAACAGTTTGAGCAGCTCATTCATACGTGAATTGCCTTCAAATGATCGAAATTCATATTGAAATATTTCAATTCGGTAGAGTCTAAGCTAAACTGTCATAACCATGATCATGAATATTTACGTTTACATCGAAAACCAGAGGAACTACTTAGTACCCGAAAAATAAATAAAAGTAAATATTAAACATGCATAATTTTTTGTATAGAGTCTAAGCTAAACTGTCATAACCACGATCATGAATATTTACGTTTACATCGAAAACCAGAGGAACTACTTAGTACCAGAAAAATAAATAACAGTAAATATTAAGCATGCATAATTTTTTGTGCTTAAGTCGGTCATAGATGAAAAAAGAAAGAGACATAATTTTTCTTATTAAAAAATAGAGTATAGCCGCCCGGCTATACTATCAATTTGAATTTAAAAAAAAATCAAAGAGTATAGCCGTTAATTTGAAGAAATTTTTTAAAAAACACGGAGTATAGAATTAATTTGATAAAAAAAATTTAAAAACACAGAGTATAGCAGCACGCCTACACTACTAATTTGAATAAATATTTAAAAATAGAGTATAGCCCAACGGGTGTACTATTTATTTATATAAAAAAAACATAGTATTGCAGCACAGTCGTGCTACTTATTAGATAAATGATAATTTTGGGAATTTTTACAACTAAAATTCTTCGCCATTATGTGATATTTTACAATAATTTATTTTAAAATTTATTATAAGTACATATTTGTATTTTATGTTTGATTTTTATAAATGAATAAAAAAAAACCTTGTATTTTACCGAGTCTTTAAGACGTGTACAGAAAACGAAAGTATTACTGAAAAATACATATGTACTTGTATAATACGAATATTTAACTGGAAAATATACAGATAATAACTATGGAAAAAATCACCATGAAGTATTATATGAGTATTATATGGAAAATGAAAATATTATTGAGAAATATGTACTTACATGTATAATACAAGTATTAAATGAAAAATACTAAATTCTTTATACGAATAATAACCATGGAAATACTATTAATAAGAATAAATATTAAAAAACAGAGCATAGCCGCTCGGCTATACTATTAATTTGAGTAAATATTAAAAAAAGCGTATAGCCAATCGGCTATACTATTATTTAAAAAATAATAATTAAAAAACATGGAGTATAGCCGATCAGCTATACTTTTAAATTGAATAAAAATAAAAAATAAAAACGGAGTGCTATACAGTTAATTTGAATAAATATTTTTTAAAAATGAAGTATAGCCGTACGGCTAGACTATTAATTTGAAAACAATTTAAAAAGCACAGCGTATAGCCGCGCGGCTATAGTATTAATTTTTAATAAATATTAAAAATATAGTTTTTTGGGACGAAATTAAAAATATAGTATAGCCGTACGGCTATACGATCGGCTATACGATCAATTTGAATTTTTTTTATAAAAAGCAGAGTATAGCCGATCGGCTAGACTTTAAATTTGAATTTTTTTTTAAAAAGCCTGGAGTATAGCCGTTCGGCTACACTATCAAATTTGAAATTTTTTTAAGAAGCGCAAAGTATAGCCGCCCGGCTATACTATTAAATTTGAATAAATATAAAAAAGGGATTATATCCTGGCGGCTATACTATTATTTTGAAAAACTTAAGCCGGTTATACTTTTATGTTGGGATGAGAATGGATTAATGCCGGTGAATTTTTTAATTCAGTAAAAAACTTAAGCCGACGAAGATGTTGCCTGGGTTTGAAAAATAGTCAATAGGCAGATCCAATGCAAATCCTTTATTTAGTCCAATTCCTCTCCTCTCTCCATCCTCTCCCTCCACCCCCATGATGCCGAGTACTCTTCCCCGGCGCCTCAATATTTTGGTGCTTACTACTCCTTGCTATGAGAGATGCTTGAATTCTTGCCCAGCAGACTTCCCCTCCAAAGAATGTGATTATATATGTACACATGATTGCTGTAATTTATTCAGATGTCTCTAAGCTTGTGTATATGAGAGATGTTGGGTTTGGTTATTATGTGGTACGCAGTGACTGAATATGTATTATTTTCTATAAAGAATACAAGAATATGTAACAATAATCAGCAGTTTTTTTTTCTGTTATTTGGTTGTTCTTTTCAATTTATGAGAAAAGACAATTACATTACAAGTGCTAAAAGTGTTTCGATCGAGTTGTTATTTACACTTAAAAAAGTTATCGTATGCTACGTTTATTTGCTACTTCATTAAATTGATATAGAGAAGTGTGTATAATATAGTGTAAAACAACCCTTTTAAATATAATTCAATTGACAATTCAATCTATATATGGTGTATCAAACGATCCCTAAGTATGCTCAATTATTTAAGCACCACATGACAAAGTATATAGGCAACTTGTAAGGTTTCACAGTATAGAAAACTATACAAATGGGTTGAAGTGAATGATAGGAAGCAATTCAAGTGGGTAAGCCATTGGTAAACTTATGCCTGCTCCAATCTCCATATTAACCTTATTAGCCTCATCACCATCTCCTTTTTTCCCAACCTTCCAATCAAAGCATTGAACCATGGTTGCAATTGCAGTGTTCACCAAGATAAGCGCCACCGCAGAGCCAGGGCACCGCCTCCTTCCCCCGCCAAAGGGAGCATAGTTGAAGTTCTGTTCGTTGGTTTGAGGACCTTGATCATTATACTCCACACTATCATGTACCTGATTAGAGGAAGCCAAGAACCTCTCGGGACGAAATTCATTGGGGCTGTCCCAAATCTCTATATCTCTCATAATTGCATACACATTGGTGGCCACCATAACTCCTTGGGGGATATCAAAGCCTTTGATTTTACAATTTTGACGGCATTTTCTTATGATCACAGGAGATGGAGGGTAGAGTCTTAAAGATTCCTTCACAACTTCTTGCAAGTAAGGGAGATTGGGAATGTCCTTTTCCCCAACCAGTCTGGAATTTCCTACCACCGATTTTATCTCTTGCCTGACCTTGTTGAATATGTCAGGGTGGTTGATGAGCTTGGCCATCGTCCATTGCATGGTCTCTGTGGAGGAAATTGTGCCCCCAATGAATAGGTCCTCGCACCACAAAAGCATAAAATTCGAACCAGTGAGACAGAGTGTACTATAATTGACTAGCTAGTTTGACAAGGCATCTCTATTGGAAATGTCAAAATGTAAAATAGAATTTAAAATGAGGTCAAATTCACATGCAGGTAGGGTTGGTCATCGGCCGGCTTTTTCTTTAGCCATCAGACCTCGAATGATGACCCCTACATGCAAGTGGAACCCGTGTTACAAAAGACAGCTTGCTTTATGGTATTCAAATATGTCGCTCAGAACCATCAAGTCCAAGACAGATTTGACTTATCTATTGGAGCATTTTGCTCCTTTCAGAGATTTTAAAGTTGCACTTTCGACCAAAAAGAAGATTTAAGGTTGCACAGTTCACTTGGCAATCGATATTCTGGGTGGAAATGGTATGAACGTTCAAACAAGTACTAGATTTGTTGATGCTTTTTTTCGGAGATGGTCAACTTAGAGAAAAGGGGTTTGCCTTCAGCAATGGAGAAGGTGAGGACCTTCGGTAAGGAAAGAGTCTGCAGAAGACAAAATAGGAGAAGCAATCGTTAAGCTTCGGACACCGGTGTGGTGCCGGCCAAAGGCTCTCCAATGCCTAAGTTAGCTAAGAGTAGTAACTTTGGTAGAATAACAGTAAAATGTAAGAAAGTAGTTACCCTTTTTACTAGGGTACTGTTCCCTATTTATAGGGGAGTGAAAGTGGGAGGTTTGTGTAGATTTCCGAAGTGTGACTTTGTGCAAGTCGCCATGGTGGTGACACGTGTTCTGGAGGTTAGGTTCAGCAATTAGGACATTCTGCAGTCGGAAGCTTCGGCAGGTGCTTGGCACTTCGGAAGAATATCTTCTTTCGGCATGGAAGAAGGCGTGTGTGCCTTTGGTGCTAGCTAGTTGCTTTGAGGTTGGATATGCTCGGTTGATTATGGTGTAAACAGTAGTCCCTCAAGTTCGCGGTCAAGAAGTAACTTCTGGGTTGGGAACTTGTGAGTTTTTGTATAATCATGACCGAGCATTCCAGATTTAGTGGGAGCCGTAAGGCATTCCCTAGTCCCCCAAGTTGGCAAGCTAGAAGTTGCATCATCACTTGAAAGGTATGATAAAAGCAATGTGAGCCTCTAGAACTATTGGTAGCTGGGTACTGGACCTTTGGCGAGTCCTTGGTTTAGCAAGGAATGGGCCCCTTGGAGCTAGGCCTTGCGTTTTTGTGCTTATGGTTCTGACAATGTCGTCAAGAGACCAAAGCTTTGGTACGGCTGGGCTGGAAGCAAAGTTTTGTGAAAGGCTGAGCAACAAGGGAAACAATTACAATAACATCGATTGAGACAAAACATCAAATAAGGTTGGTTCAAAAAGAGGAGGCTAGCTCCAAGAAAACCAAGGCCTGTTTTCCAGGTTTTCCCTTCTCCCCTTCTTGAAATGTAAAATTTTAACAAGACATGGGCTAATTTGTGTTGAAGAAAGCTCAATCCAAGCTGAAACAAAATGAGAGAGAGAGAGAGAGAGAGAGAGGATGAGAGTAAAATAAGACTACTTACAAGCAAGAAAGCCTTAATTTGAGTTCTGGTAATTTTGAGCTCAGCCTGATCATCCTGATACACTTTCAACAGCAAGTCCATGAAATCTAACTCCTTTCTCTCCCCTTTCTTCTCATGCTCCTTCAACATCTCCTCCAAAAGCTCATCAAACTCCAAGGACACTTCAGCAAGCTGCTTCCCATAAAGCCAGAACCCCAACCTCTTCAATGGTCCCAACACATCCCCATAAGACACCTTTGTCGCCAACCCAAGTGTCCTCATCATCATCTCCCTAATCCTCGCAGCCTCATCGCCATTCTCTGAACAGCTCGTGCTCATCACCATCTTGCAAGTGGAGTTGTTAGTAAGCTTCATGAGCGCACCACCCAAATCCACAACCTCTTTATTCTCAGCACTCTAAATCAATTTTTTACAAGAATTACCAATTTCTACGTGCCTGGTATTGCGCGAGCGTTCCAGCTGCCGCTGCGCAAACAATTCTGTCATGCAGATCTTCTTCATTTACTTCCAATAGTCCCCGTACTCGGCACCAAAAAAACCTGAGTTCCCGTATGGTAGCTCATATGCGAAAGCGAATGCCGGGCGATCTGCGAAAGCACGGTCTTGGGTTTTGAAGATCTCGGTGGCCATGGAGGCTGACGAAACAAGGAGCATTCTAGAAGCGCCGAGGCGGAGGTTAAGGAGAGGGCCATATTTGGTGGAGAGGTTTTGGAAGGAGATGGCTTAGTGAGCTGTGGTTAGATGATGAAGGTGACCAATTACTGGGAGGGCCGGTGGGCTTGGAGGAGGATGAAGTTGAGGGGTTGGCTTGGTGGGGTATTTGTTGAACAAGGATCTAAGTAGGAGGGTTGAGAGATAGCATATGAGGAAGTAGAGAAGGTAGTGTTGGGCATCGGTTATTGTTGCCATAGCTATTTGATGTTAGGAAATTGGATGATCTACAACTCAACAAGACATAGTTCAATTGCCTTGGTTGCGTTATTGCTTTGCAAATTTCACAGATGAGCTTAATTCAAGAGCCGGCGAGGCTAACCTGATTTGCATTGTTTGCATGAAATTTACTTTTGCTGATGTCACATGAGATTCTTCCAATTGAAAAATACTTTCGTTCAACTTTGTAAGGCGCCATTCATACTTTGGTTCAACTTTGAAAGGCGCCATTCATCTTCATCGGGCAACATCGTTTTAATCATGATTTTTAAGCAAGGAAACTCCCAAGTATGACCAACATTTTCACATTTTACTAAAACTCTTCCCAATTGCCATCTCTTCAACATCACTCAATAATAATGGTGCTTTTGATCTTTTATATTTAGCCTTTTTTTTATTGTCTTGTTGCACGACTTTTTTTTCTGTCAACTTAATGATGATGCACTTCATTTCTCTGAGCAAAAAATTGTGGAAAGCTGCCACAAACAATGGCTTCCAAGTCCTCTCTCTGGTTCATATGTTACTGCTTCTTATAAAAAGAAAATAGGAAAAGTTTTTAAACCCATACAGAGAGCTCATAGGAGTGGTGGAGAAGAAAGTGCATTAAGCGTAAGTCTTGGAATTAATACACTTCATCAAGCCTCAGTTCCTTCCTATACAAGCCTCTTTTGTTCCCTGGGAAATAAATTCTAGAGCTACTTCTCCCCAGTAAAGCTGTAGCTCATATGAACGTATTGGTAACTCATTTCAAAGTAATAAAAACTGCCCTGCATGCAGTATCCACTGAAAACAAAACCTGCTGCTTTTCACAATCACTTTTCTTTGCTACAGCATTATAATCGTCATTTTGTCTTTTATCCAACACTCGAATCATCAACAAATTAATTTTGTTCTAACCCCTACTTTTAGTATCACTTTGAATGTCTTGATAACGTGTTCTATAAACTACAGTTCGCTGGATGATGATTATGATTACCTGTGCTTTTCGTCATGGCACAGAACAGTCATCTTCGTTGAAATTCATCTGACAATGCTGCCAACTCCATCCTATATACTTGAGGATAAATCGTGAGTTCAACCATCCTCACCATCCTCTGATCTCACAAAACAGGCTTTTTACAAGAAACGTTCCTGCTAAGGAAACAATATCAGAGATTCTACATGTTAGCAAAATGAACTCAATGGATTCACTAAAAACAAGGACCCTGCGAATGTCAACCTAGGAAAATACCCTTTTACCAAGGAAAGTGCCTTGCATGTTAGGCTGCACCCCTTAAGTGCAGTGGATTTCAAGAAAAATCCCTGCTCAGTGTTTATGGTAAAAGCATGGTTGAAATAAATCTTAAAACATGTTACTATTGCTTAGTTGAATTACATTTCGCAGGCTATATGGGCAGAAGGGCTGACGTATAACTGGTACAAGCCAGAAGAGTGAAATGATGGAAAGTGCACAAAAGTTGGGCTTCCAACGAAAAAAAACATTCCTAGGAAATATTTTCTAATTAGGCATATGACTACAAAAAGGTAAATTTGTTTTTTATTTATTTCTAAAATTACCGTTCTTAATAGGGGGGCCATTCAAGATAAGTGTAAAAGGGAAATAATAAGTAAAATTAATTAAAAGATACAGCATTTCCAGTACAGAAAAGATACTTACTTTCAGAAGAAATGGTTGGCCATTAAAAGTTGTGGGACCTCTTTGTCTTCTTCAACCTCTGCCGAAGCTTCAGCTTTAATTTCTTGAACTCTTTCATCCCATATGTTATCTATCAGCTTCCAAGTTTTATCATTGACTCGTTGGGTCTGCAAAAAGAATTAGACAACAATTGGCTAGCATGATGACAAACATTGCAATAGAAAAACCCCGGTAAAGCATAATTCTCTAGATACCTCCATAGGGCGGGGCGCACCAAAGGTTGAAAATCCAGCATTTCCAGGTGAAAATGTAACTCTCCCGGGGAGTGTGACCCCATGGATTCCCCATCGCCCAGCGTAAATTAGGGCTCCATATTCATCAACCGGCTTCACTGCAGGCTGAAGAATGAGCAAGAACAAATGCTTCAAATGCACACATCATTGGAGATGCCAAGGCAATAGAAGTTCAATAATCGTCTATTCATGGACCCAAAGTTTAAACACTTCCATTAGATTGTGAACATTTTCTAGATAAATGAAGGTTCCTCTACATATCTTACATCATCAACACTGACGGGGGAAAGATGTATTGGGTCAGGAGTGCACTAAGAATCACAGAAGGGTGAACTCACATTTATATAGATCAATAAAAGATAGCTTTTCATTTGAATTGTCAGCCGTATTAATTTAGAATAAACATAAACTACCGATGAATGGGAGGAAAGACAAGGAAAGCACATGCGAAAAAAATGAAAGAAAATAGTTTCAGATACCTCACTCTAATTCAAAATAATTATGTCCAGAATTATCATGTTAACATTAAGAAATTCAACACTTATCCATAAGAAAAAGACGAGCCCACAAATACAGCAGGCCATAACAATTACTATCCAAAGCTATGTTTAAGATCTACCTGAGGTATCCGAGGAGACCTTTTATATATGTCCCAAATTTCTTCAGCTTTAATCTCTCCATTTTCAAGTAAAATATCTGCATGACATGAAAGCATTGAGCCAACCACTAAGTAGTGCATGATTACAACTTGACTAAGTATGAAAGCTCAACCTCTCACACAACCAAAGTCTAACCAACAACTTATTTTTCAATTTTCAATTGAATCAAACAGATTAATAACCTGTAATTGTCTCTACAGCTGAATGGTACTCCCTTAGTACAGATGAACATTTGTCCTCAGCATAACGCATATATTCATCTCGAAGTGCTTCAAGCTTGGCTGCAAGCTGTTTTAAATTCACAAATTACTGAAGCTATTTGGGTCCTCCAGAAAAGTAATTTTTTCCGAAATGATATAGAATGTAACTCAAATCTATGAAGCATACATTTGGCACAAGATCACTTTGATTCCTGTAGTATGCTTTTCCATATGCTGTCATTCCTGTCTGCAGAATAAGAAATTCTGCAAGCCTCGAAGCTTCTAATGTGGCCTTTGCAGATATCCAACACAAGTTGTCAACTCCAAACATCTCCTCCTCAATAACTCTAGCTACAAATTAGGGCAATCAGTAAGCCATACACTTCCTTTCTGCAGTTGTATGATTAGATTTAACAAGAAAACCAAAAAGTAAAAATCAACAGAAGCAAAAGCAGAATAAATTCATCCAGGTACCATTGCTTGATAATCAGGTTCATATCAAGGAGTGAGCCTTACAACTCCTGGTTCAACATCAAAAGCACTGATGCATACATGGGGTCACTTCAGGCCTAAATTCAGCTGTAGGTGCTACTTTGATTTTATATCAATAAGCTGTCGCGTATCCTAACCCTAAAATCTTAGCAGTAAAGTTCAAGTAGTTTGAATGCTTTTTTTTTATGAAGAAGTAGTTTGAATGCTTTCTATAAACTTAAAGAACCCTTCTCCACGGGCTTAGATAACACCCTTTGTAATCTCCTTTCAGATTGTATAGGTTTATTAGAATTCAAAAATCAAATAATTGTTAAGATTTATTTTGTACATAAGAAATGAGGTTGAACGTTGCCTACAAAGGTTTGCTCATGATGCAGGACAGTGCCTCATAAATCGATATATCAGAAACTACTCTCTTTTAATTTCCTAATTATTGCATTACCAATTTACCACGGACGATTATCTTTGGACCAAAAAAGACCAAAAATTTTCAGAAATTAAAACACATTTGAATGCAGGTTTTCACATATGCACTCAAGCTTGGTCCATGAACGCTAGAGTCTACAGAAAACATGTCACAGGATGATTGAACATACGTTATTGTAATATTTGTGTGACAAAAGGTTAACCATTTTTAAGATATTCGAATGAGTGAAAAAGAAACATATTTATAAAAAAAAACTCCAGCATGATGAGCAAGAAAGACAAATATAGCTCTTAAAAGTAAACTTGCTAGCAAGACAAATTTTTTTTACTTACGAGCACATGCACGCACTATAGAGTTTACAAAATCCGATTTTCTTGAGAAGACCTTCCCCGATATTTCAGTGTAGCGCATATTTGGCTGACTACGGATGGATTTTATATCTGTCTGAAGAAGATAGAAAATATGAAATTAGCATGTTGGTAGACACAAAAATACATGCAACACATAGTAAAACAAAGTAGAACAATTAACCTCAGTGAAAGGGTGGTATGGATCAGGAAAGTAGCAGGCAAGGACAGCAACAGCTGCTTCTCGATATGCCAATCTCAGTTTTAGTTCCTCTGGAATTTCAGTACTATCTTCCTGACCTGTTTCAAACGTGCCCTTTTGCTGCAAATTGATAAACAAATACATGAACATGTGAGGCAGTAAGCCAGTCTATATAATTGGTTTACTTGAGCTATGTTGTTAGGGAAGCGGGAACAGGGGGTGCATAATATCGCCCAAAAAGGGATAGCTGGATGGGGTAAAACTCCACCAACCCTTTTCAAAGCCTCCAGAAGCTCTTCTCGTCCGATGAAATCTAAGTCCTTCCTGGCAGTCAAAATTCCAGCTTCATTCCTGTCAGGTGATGGGAAAAATGTAAGCATCAGTGCATCACTCTATTGTTATTGAATTGAAAATTTTAACTACCAATTAGGAATAAATTACAGTATGTTCTGCAACTCTGCACCCGTGAAATCCTCTGTAAGCTCTGCAATTTCCTGAAGGAGAACCTCCTTCTCCTCTTCAGAACGAAAAAATTTATTTCTAGCATGCACCTATTCACATAAAAAGTAGAACGTTATGCAAGGACTAGACAAATTTCAGAAGCTAGAGTTTCTAATGCTAGAAGCAATAAAAAAAAACACCTTCAAGATGGCCAGTCTACCATCCTTTGATGGCAAACCAACTCTTATAATCTTGTCAAAGCGGCCCTTTCTCAATAGAGCAGGATCAAGGATATCTAATCTATTTGTTGCACCTATAACTAGCACCTGAAAAAGACAAAATTAGCAGCAAAGATACAAAATTTCCTATTCAATTCAAGGAGGAAGAAAATACATACCTGTGAGGTAAACTCTTTAAATCCATCCATCTCTGTTAGTATCTGAAGCAGGCCTTGTTCCCTTTCTGCACCACCCTTCATAGGACAATTGCAGAGACCAAAAACGATGGTGTGAATTATAATCATGAAATCAACTA